GCGCTCCAGGGCCTAGGGCACCTCCTCCTCGGACACAGCAGGAAGGGAAGGGAGGGGAAAAGCAACGCGGTGCTCGGTAGTGATGCTCCGGCTGCTGGCCTGGTAGAAGAAAAAGGAGAGCAAAGGAGGACGGTAGGAGACAGCAGTGGCAGAGGGAAAGTGGCGCAATGACCAGCAACGAAAGACAGAGACATGACCGGAGAAGACAGGGGCAGGCAGAGGCCAAGCCAAGGAGATACGGAAGGCAGACGCGTGAGAGAGAGCGAGGTCAACTTGTACAGAGGACAGATTTCCACCACTGGAAACCCTCGTCACCGTTCATGCATATAAAGCTAGACCCGTGAGTCTATATATGTATGTACAGAGGATAGATTTATATATACCGGAAACCCTCATCACCGTTCATGCATATAAAGCTAGACCCTCTCTCTCTCTCTCTCTATATATATATATATATATCATTTTATTACGGACTTTTATTCTATTATAACATTTGCTAGTCCTGCCGAATCTTAAAGATCAAATCGTTCGATAGCATCGTTATCGAACAGCCCTGAATATTCCTACGTACGGCGTAATTTAACTTGAGCATGTATTTGAGTCTACGAAACTAAGTCATACAGGATTCGCTTATCGCTTCACGTATGTTTTAAATAAAAAGAATTCGAGAAACTCGTTTCAAAAGTTTTACTTAGGCCTAAATCGCGGCGCTAAATAATATCGTAACACCGGGGTGTTACAATAACCATGTAGAATTAACAACTGTCTCGGCATAACTGCACTGCACTCTATCCCTCACAACCAGCATCAGCAAGCTAGAGCATATAGAATCAGCCCTGCAATTGGATGGAGAAAAAACACTATTAGTCGATGCAATGTAATATTTATAAAATGATGCAATGTAAACCCAAACTGAAGCTAATTCAGATACTTAAGAAATACAACTCATCTCTAGAAAAAGTTGCACCCAAAATCCTACCAAACAGTGAAATGCATAATATTGGAGCTAATGAACTGTTTTGATATCAAATCACCAACTACCAAATTTAGACCTCTCGTTGGTAAGACATCATCAAATTGTCCAAGCCGCATTATTGAGCAGTTCTAGTACATCTGTTTTCTGCCGCACCAGAAGCTCTGGTCTGACAATAATTGAGTACTAGCGAATTTGGTAATGGAGAGATTTGCCTGAGATGAGGCTTATGTGTCTAGCTAGCTTAATTGTCTCCTAGTTTAGAGTGGGCTTCTATGATAAATGAGTTACAGATACTAGGGACCAGTTGTTAAGACATAAAGTGCTGAAAATAAATCTTGATAAACGCTAATAATAAGAACCTTTGCCAACTACAACTAGATCACTAGAAAGATTTCTAAGGAAAAAAGGTGAGTCTGAAGATTGTGCCTCAGCATATCCAGCGCACCTGGAAAGAAGAGAATAATAGATGAAAGAAATGTGGGTGTGGGGGGTTGAAACCACCGCACCTTGTCTCGTGGATTCTTCTCCATTTATTCCATACAGAGGATTAAGACATTGATATTTGTCTATTGGGTGGGTGCTGTAGCATATAGTTGTATACCCATGCAATGCAAACCATCTACTGATAATTTAGTAGAGTTTATAATTTAAAATGAGTTCCTTCTGTAATCTTGCTTCACATATTTTCCTTATCCAAAAATAGTGGCTTTGGAGTCTCAGTCCTCAAAAGTCAATAGGCACTCCAAAGTAGGTAGTCACAAGAACAGTAAACTTACCTTTGGAGCAATCTCACCCTTATCCACAATAGGCGAACTCTTGGGTTTGTGAAGTTGATAAAAATTTCTCTGTTCACCTCACACTTCATGACGCTTGTTGCTTGCGCTTTCTCTTCATCTGAGATATTGGACCCTTATATTTGACATTAGCATGGGCGAACTAATAACAGAGGCATGTCCACATATTCATAGTGTGACCCTTATATTTGACATTAGCATTAGCTCTATACCAGTTGAGATATTGGACTACTTATGTATTTATAATTGAAGCCTATGTTCCAAAATTACCCAACGCGTCTCTCTTCTAATTGTAAAAGTCACATATGCCAACTTGTGACATACTGACCTTACGAACAATTATTACTTGCTTAAAACATCACGGAAGCAAACAAAAGAAATGAGTAAACATAATTAATCTAATAAAAAATGTTACTGCTAACAGGCTACCCAAACAAATAAAAAAGCATTCACTGAACTGAAATGTGAATACTATTCTAAAAAGCCTGAATATTCAGAAGCTGCACATGAAGCACTTAAGAGCTAAGACAGCTAGCAACCGATGGAAAACAAATAGCTACTACAAAGAAATCTCTCGAATCGACCGAAAACGAAGTCTGCAAATTTGAGTTTTACGAACTCTCCACCGGTGGGTTACTCTCGACACTCTAAAATGCAGCTGCAGTGCGCTATCTGAAAAACAAAAACTGAGGAAACCTTGAGCCAAACAAAGAGCAACAAGCTAGTTTGACAACCTCAACTGAACTGGAGTCATTAACCTAATGTTCAACTTAAAAAAAGAAGCAACCAGTCGCTGTAGCTAACAAGTGAAGGAAACATAGAATTCAAGCTGTGGCAAGAACCACCAGATCACCACCAGATTGAGAAAGACAGAGGGGAAAGTGACATGGAGACTCACCACAACGACGGACGGCAGAACAAAATTACTGCATGCACTAAGAAATCATTCAGCTGGGTTAGGCTTTGACAACTTAATTTTTGCAGAAATCTGCAGCCACTACTAGTAATGAACACAACACATCAATCAGAACTGAACTGCACAACTACTAATGAACACAGAGCACTATCTCAGAAAATGTCTCCTGGAAAAAGCTTATTAACACCTGACCAAGGTGTTTTTAAAAAAAAAAAGAACAACAGTGTGCTCTCCTGCAATTCCACTTGTATTGGACATATGTTGATACATTTATTCTGTAAAAGTGCACACGAAATTAACACCTGACCACTTGTGGGTTAGCTAAGCCTTATGTATCAAGTGATTATTGGCACTCGACAAAGACATTGATGCTACCGGTGATTGGTAACATTCAGGCTTTGGTTACACTATCAGTCCAAAAATACAACTCTGAACATAAGATCCAGAACTCAACCAAATAATATGCACACCCTATACTACATCGCATGTAATCCACGATGAAATCGAAATTCGAGAATAGTCTAGAAGAGAATAGCGTGCAATCCCGAAATCTTTGAGGAGCGAGCAAGTCCAAAAGCAAGAACGGGGAACAGAATGCAGCCGGGCACTCATCTCTCCTTTCCCCTTCTCCCTCATTGCTCCTGCTGCGCCTTGTCGGTCGTCCCCAACTGCTCCTCCAATTCTTCGACGGGAGTGCAGAGAAATGAAGACCAACAGATCTAACAAGAAATAATATTTTGCGATTCAGCAGATCCACTTCTCCCACGATAGATCTAACAAGAAACAACGGAGCCAAGATTGGGAAAGACAGAGGGGAAAGGGACATGGAGACTCACCACCACGATGGACGGCAGGACAATTGGCGAAGACACGGCCCTGGAGAGTGATGACGTGCTCTAGGATGATGGTACCTAGGCGTTCTTGGCGAGACAGCGAGCGGGCGGCTGGCTGCAGATCCACTTCTCCCCGCAGATCTCCCGCTTCTTGAGGCTCGCGCTTCTTCGAACGGATCTAAAGCGTCCCCGGTGACGCAGGGAGCAACAAAGGACAGATCAAACCCTAGCCGCCATGGATTCCTTCTTCCGAAAGAAGGAGAAGAAAGCAAGCGAGACGGGGCAAGAAGAAAGGAAGCTAGAGGCGGAAATAAATCGACGAGTGCCTCAACGGGAAGGACCTACAAGGCGGCGAAGCGAGTAGGAGACGGAGAGAGGGGGACCGGCGAGCGCGTGACGGCTGGGGAACGACGGCAGCTAAGCGCATAGCGATAGGCTAGGCGCGCACTCAAACCCTAGCCGCCATGCTTTCGGGAAGGCGAGGAGACACGGAGTGCGAGGAGGAGGTACCCCAAGCGAGAAAAGAACCAAGGATGGAACGGATCGGGAAAGAAATAAACGGGTGCGGAGGAGTTTTTTTCTATTGGGGCCCGTCGATTGATGATATCCGAAATAAATCATTGGATAGAGTCATATTTTATAATATACTAATAATAATTTGTTTACTTATATTATTAAATTTTTTAAAGTTGGCTCATGAAATATCCAAATGGGCTTGTTTACCGGGATCGATATGGGAAGCAAACGCACGGACGTTTCTCCACCCGCGGATTGGGCGGGGATCCCTGCGGGTATTGGGGTACCCAAACGAGCCCTAAAAAGAACCAAATCACTTCTTACAACATAAAGAGTAACAAAAAAGTCTAGCTGAAAACTAAATTATTTTGCATTATTTGTCCATTCAAAGAAAGAAAAAAATTGCATAGGAGTCTGTCTTAAGTAATCGACAAGCCTAGTTGATTTGCTCCTACGAGTAATCGACAAGGCTAATTGATTCGCTCCTTGTTGGCTTCATCAACATAACCATTATTTTTATTTACTAAACACTTATATGAGTTTTTGAATAAAACAGAGGTAAAATCATAATTAGACTTCAAAACAAGGGTGCAAGCACAAGAGTTCCTACAAAATAATAGGAACATTTATGTCTCAAAAGGTTCCAGTAAAAATTTATCCACTACCTAAAGAGGAAGAAAGGGAAGGCCGGCGCATGTGCAGTCAAGTTGGATATGGCAAAGGCCTATGATCGAGTGGAGTGGACTTACCTGAGAGGTATTATGCTGAAGCTTGGTCTCCATTCGGATTTTGTGAATTTGGTCATGAGATGTGTGAGCTCTGTCTCCTTCTCTATCAGAATTAATGGCGTTTTGACAAAACCCTTGAGACCTACTCGTGGAATTAGGCAAGGTGACCCCATATCACCTTACCTCTTCCTACTTTGTTCGGAAGGTTTATCGTGTCTCCTGAGGTCCATTGGCCCGATGTACCTATCTAGGGGTGTTAGAGTTGGTGTTTACTCCCCCTGGATTTCACATTTGCTCTTTGCGGACGACTGCATTGTCTTCTCAGAAGCATCGCAAGGAGGGGCTGGTAGATTGATGGAGGTTTTGAATAGATACAACCAAGGCTCGGGACAATTAGTAAACAAAGAAAAGTCTGCTGCTTTCTTTAGTAAGAATTGTTCCCAGGATACAAAGACTGAAGTATGCCAGGAGTTGGATATACATAAGGAGGCGCTGGCAGAGAGATACCTTGGCTTGCCAACAGAATCGGGAAGGAGTTTGAGTGGTTTATTTGAATTCCTACCGGCACAGGTTAGAAGTAAGATTGATGGCTGGTGTGGTAGGGAGGCAAGCTGCGCTGGTCGAGAAGTACTAATCAAATCAGTGGCACAGGCGGTTCCAACATATTCAATGAGTTGCTTCCTTCTACCAATCAGCAAATCAGCACATGCAAGAAAATGAAAACAGCAATGTCAAATTACTGGTGGGGGAGTAGTGCTGACAATCATCGCATGCACTGGATGAGTTGGGAGCGTCTAACGCGGTCCAAGAACAAAGGCGGTATGGGCTTTCGTGATTTGCGGTGTTTCAATCTGGCCATGCTTGGGAAACAAAGGCTGGAGACTTATTACTAGACCTGACTCGCTCTGTACCAGAGGCGGTACTTCCATGACTCGGAATTTATGTTGGCTTCCAGGAAAAGACATGCAAGTAGTGCATGGAGGCTATTATGGCAGGAAGAGAAGCGCTGCAACATGGGTTGATTAAGAGAGTGGTTGATGGAAACACTACTGAAATCTGGAGAGACAGGTGGATTGCAAACCACTTTGATGGCCGACCGATTACTCCCCAGGAAGACCAGGTTATTACAACGGTTTCAGAGTTACTGAATGCGAATGGTGATTGGAATATAGAGACAGTCAGGGGCTGTTTTCTCAAAATAGATGCAGAAGCAATCCTCAGGCTTCCGGTAGGACAAGGTGATCATGATGTCTGGGCCTGGGATATGGAAAAATCCGGGATTTACTCGGTTAAAACTGCATACAAGCTTCTGTACAAGATCAAAGTGGAAGATCAAGGTACCGCCCAAAGTGAAGGTTTTCTGGTGGCGAGTTATTCATGAATTCCTACCAGCAAGGCAAGTGTTATTCAGGAGACATATCGAAAGAATTGCTTTCTGTGAAGATTGTGGTGATCCAGAAGAATCTATCCAACATGCGCTGATAGGGTGTTCGGTGGCCAAAAGATTTTGGCATCAAGTCCGGCTGGGGACAGGGGTGAAAGTTCCAGGCCTGAACCCGGAGACTTGGGCCACTGATATCATCTCGGGCATCTGCTCTGAACGGGACATAGCGATCATTCTCTGTAGTATGCGGGCTCTATGGATGATGAGAAACAAGAGGCGCCATGGTGAGCAGCCGATGAACGATCACCAAGCTGTGACGTGGGCGAGAGACACAGCGCATGACCTATGGTAGCTCAGCCAAGAACTGAAACCAAGAATCGACAGACCGGAGCAGCCAAAGTGGTCTCCGCCAAAGCCTGGATGGGTGAAAATCAATTCTGATGCAGCTTTTCAGGCAGCTGGCAATGTGGGAGCAACGACTTGTATTATCCGTGACCATCAAGGAGCATTCAGGGTAGCGCAAGCGCGTTGGTATGAAAGCAGTCTGGATGGCTGCTTGATGGAGGCATTGGCCTGCCGTGATGGTTTGGAGCTTGCCAAGCAACATGGTGAACAGAGGGTGATCCTGGAGACGGACTGTCTAGAGCTAGTAAACTTGGGCATCGTTCACTTTGAAAAAAAAATGAACCCGATGAATAGTACCATTTTCGTCTTATTTGGCAAATATTGTCCAATCGTGGACCAACTAGACTCAAAAGATTCATCTCGTGATTTCCAACTAAACTGTGTAATTAGTTTTTTTTTACCTACATTTAATACTCCATACAAGCGGCTAAAAATTGATATGATGGAGAGAGAGTGAAAAAACTTGGAATTTGGATGGCATCTAAACAAGGCATTGTGGAAGAAAAAAACTCAACGCTCCATCATTGATCCAGTACTGCAGGAAATTCAGAACTTGTGCCTTGCCTTTCAAGATTTCTCTTTTGTTTTTGTTAATAGATGCTGTAATAAGATAGCTCATGTCTTAGCGAAACAAGTATCCAACACACAGCGTCTGGAGACGTGGCATGTAACTCCAGCTTGTGTAGCTGACTTGGTGATGTTTGAGGCCTCGGCCGGTTGATTCTAATGAAAGGCAAGCAAGTCAAAAAAAAAAGGGTTCCAGTAAAAATATATTCTATGATATAACTTGAAATTATTTGGTACTTGGTTTTTTTATAGATTTGATTAAACTTGAAATTATTTGTTTTTTAAATGAGAAATGCACTCTTTTGGGCGGTTAACTATGTTTTTTTTTTCCTATAAGGACTCGATTATATTCAATCATGGAAAACACGGTACAAAAATTTGCGAAATGTTGGAGTTGTTCCAAATTCACTCCAAGATATAGGCCGGGCTTCTGACGGAGCGGAGCGGAGGCCCGTCGCCGGAGGCTTGGGCCGGAGCGTAGGGTATATACACCCTTGCTAGGGTTTCGTTGAGACTTGATTCTCTTGTAAGCCGCCATAGTCGTGTAACCAAAAACTCTTGAGATAGTGAGATTGTTGCTGGCTGGTGCCCGTGGTTTTTCCCCTTCACATTGGAGGGGTTTTCCACGTTAAATCGTGTGTCCCCTCTGTGGCTTGATTCTTTACTTCATATTCCTATACGTCGTTCATAACAAGTGGTATCGAGCTTTGGTTCTTTGTTAGGGTTCATGACGACGTCGATGAAGTTCGATCTTCCATTTCTTGAACTACGACACGCGGTTCTCGCTATGGCAAGTCAAGATGCGGGGATTTCGACGAGACTCATGACTATGATGAGTATTGGATAGTTTCGGAAAGAGGAAGGCCGAGTGTACTCCATAAGAGATCCGCAAGAATCGAAGGCGCCGCCCTAATTGATTGCATCTTCATAATGATATTTTGCAGGAGTGTCGAAAGAAAGCTGCTGCAGAACTATCATGGTCAAACCGGAATCGATCTCAGTATGTCCAAGGATCTAACCAAGAAGATGCGAGATGAAGATGAAAGCTGTTCACCCTGAAGATGAAGGAGGAGGATTCAGTGATGAGCCACATCGCTGAATTCAAGAAGATCGTCGCCGACCTAGTGTCGATGGAGGTGAAGTATGATGATGAGGACTTAGGTCTTTTACTGCTATGTTCTTTGCCAAATTCGTATGCAAATTTTCGTGACACCATACTTTTGAGCCGTGATGAACTAACCCTAAAGGAAGTTTATGAGGCTCTCCGATCTAGGGAGAAGATGAGAGGCATGGTGCAGAATGACGGGACGTCGTCCTCCAAGGGCGATGCTTTGCATGTGAGAGGCAGAACTGAAAACAGATCCTCCAATGATGGCAATGATGGAAGAAAGAACTACGAAAGGAAAGGCCGTTCAAAGTCCAAGTCGCATGGTAATAAAAAGTTTTGTGTTTATTGCAAGCTGACAAATCATAATGTTGAGGATTGCGTAAAAAGCTGAGAATAAGGAGAAGAGGAAAAACAAGTTAATTTGGTAAGGTCTCTATTCGTTGTCTGCTGCTGCGTCGATGATGATTTCGGAGATTGTCCGTAGTATTTTTGGTTGTGTTCTTTGGTCATGATGAATGGATTCTCGATTCCGCATGTTCATTTCATATTTGCACTAATGTAAATTGGTTTAGCTCGTATAAGCTTTGTCGCGAGTAAAGGGGATGTTGTATGGATGGGAGATGATAACCCGTGTGACATTGTGGGGATTGGATCAGTTCAGATCAAGACTGATGATGGCATGACACGCACGCTGAAAAACGTCAGGTATATACCAGGGATGTCCAGAAATCTTATCTCATTGAGCACGCTTGATGCAGAAGGTTACAAATATTTCGGTTCAGATGGCGTTCTGAAGGTATCAAAAGGTTCTCTTGTTTGCTTGAAAGGTGATCTTAATTCTGCAAAGTTATATGTCCTTAGAGGGTGTACTTTACCTGGTTCGATTCATTGTTGTCTTCTTTGTTACTAATGATGAACCTAGTAAAACTAACCTTTGGCATATGCGTTTGGGACATATGAGTCACCATGGTATGGCGTAATTGATGAAGAGAAACCTCTTTGGATGGTCGCACTTCGAGTAAAATAAAGTTTTGTGAGCATTGTATTTTTGGGAAGCATAAAAGGGTACATTTCAACACTTCGCTCACATCACTAAAGGTACTCTTGATTATGTTCATGCTAATTTATGGGGCCCTTCCGTAAGTCCTCACTTGGTGGTGCTCGTTACATGCTTACAATTGTTGATGATTACTCTAGAAGGGTTTGGCCTTATTTCCTCAAATGTAAAGATGATACTTTTGCTTTGCCTTTTAAAATTTGGAAAGTAATGATAGAAAGGCAAACCGAAAGGAAGGTAAAATTGCTTCATACCGATAATGGTGAAGAATTTTGTCAAGCGTGAATTTAATGATTATTGCAGATCGGAAGGCATTGTTAGGCATCACACCATACCCCATACTCCACAATGAATGGTGTGGCCGAATGCATGAACAGTAACTATCATGTCCAAGGCCCGTTGCATGTTTGTCTAATGCCGGGATGAGCAAGCATTTTGGGTGAAGTCGCTAATATCGCACTGTTACTTGATAAAGCAAGTCGCCTTCTATTCCACTAAATAAAAGAACTTCCATTGAGGTATGGTGCTGCACGCTCACGATTATTCACAGCTTGAAAGTTTTTGGATGCACCGCTTATGCTCATGTTGATAATGGAAAATTAGAGCCTAGAGTCTGTTAAGTGTCTTTTCCTTGGTTATAGTTCGGGAGTCAAAGGCTATAAATTGTGGAATCTGAAACAGAAAGACTTTTATGAGCAGGAGTGTTGTTTTCAATGAATCGTGATGTTTCTTGACAGTTTGCCCTCGAGATCATGTTCCAGAAAAAGAGCTGCAACAGATGCGCATGCTGGTGGAGCATGTTGATGATGATACAAGGTGTGTGGTGGAGCTGTTGATGAGCATGGTGACCATGATAATGATGTTCTTGAGGATGATCCTCATGATGATGTTCAAACAAACTCCTCCTATTTTGCGATTAGAGGAGGATTTACCTATTGCTCAACGAAGTCAAAAGGACAATTGCACCTCCTAAGCGTCTTATTGAAGAGTGTAATTTGTCTTACTATGCTTTGAGTTGTGCTTTGAACAGTGGAGAATGTTCATGAGCCAAAGAACCTATAAAGAAGTTATTCGTTGTGGTGATACCGAGAATTGGATTTCTGCTATGCATGAGGAGATGCGATCTCTTGAGAAGAACGAAGACATGGGAGATTGTACCTTTGCCTAAGAATAAGAAGACCATCATTTTGCAAATGGATCTTCAAGAGAAAGGAGGGTTTATCTCCAAGCGAGACTCCAAAGTATAAGGCAAGGTTAGTTGCTAAAGGCTACAGTCAAATTCCGGGAGTTGACTACAATGATGTGTTCTCTCCAGTGGTAAAACACAGTTCAATCCGTACTTTCCTTAGTATTGTTGCTTCACATGATCTTGAGCTTGAGCGATTAGATGTGAAGACTGCGTTTTTTGCATGGAGAGCTTGAGGAGGACATATACATGGACCAACCGGAAGGGTTCATAGTGCACGGCAAGGAAAATATGTGTGCAAGTTGAAGAGATCCTTGTATGGTTTGAAACAGTCCCTCGTCGATTGGAACAAGAGGTTTGATTCATTTATGTTAGCACACGCTTTTAAAAGATCTAAGTATGATAGTTGTGTTTACATCAAGCATGTTAATGGATCACCTATATATTTCTTTGTTATATGTTGATGATATCTTTGATTTCTTTGCCAAGAGTAAGATTGAAATCACTAAGTTAAAGAAGCTATTGAGTAGTGGTTTTGATATGAAAGATCTTGGTAGTGCTAAGAAAATTCTTGGTATGGAAATTAGTAGAGACAGTAAAATCTGGTTTGCTATTTCTTAGTCAACAAAATTATATCAAGAAAGTTCTTGAAGATTTCAACATGCAAATGCTAAGGCTGTTAGTACCCCTATTGCACCTCACTTTAAGTTGTCACCGCTTTCGTTGTCCTAGTACAGATGCGAGAGATTGAATACATGTCAAGGGTTCCTTATTCTAGTGTCTGTTGGGTCTTTGATGTATGCCATGGTTTGCTCTCGTCCAGATTTGTCATATGCTATGAGTCTTGTTAGTAGATATATGTCTAATCCTGGCAAAGAATATTGGAGGACAGATTCGATTGGATTTTCAGGTACCTTAGAGGCACAGCAGATTCTGTTTAAAGTTTGGAAGAACTGATAAGGGTCTTATTGGCTATGTGGATTTCGATTATGTCTTTGATCCGACAAAGCGAAGATCACTTATAGGTTA